TTTGAAACCATTCCCACATGTTATGAAGGCATAAGAAGCCAACCCCGCGTAACCTTTGGCTTACCATGGCTGCCTGGAAACCGCATTCTGTTGCCCAGCCGTGTGTGATGTGTCACCAATATAAAAGGCAAAATGCGACCTTGTACCTAAAGTACATGTGCTGTCTGCTGTGAATTGCTTGATTCATTGTGAAAGAGTCTCCCTTTTGTTCTCAGAAATCTATCGTCTTAAATTTTACTCTCCCTTTTTATCTCCCCGCAGGTGCAAATGTTTCTATGCTCCCCCTATCATCTTAGTCCCTGAGGTTATCGCAGATTAGAAGGCGAAAAAAACGCACTTGCAATGACATGTTTTCCAAGCTCATGCAGTCCTCCTGCACTGATAGGACACAGCTGAATGCATGGAGACATTCAGTGGCAGAGGCCAGGAAAGCATTAAGTGAGCGTAATGAGAAGAGGCAGGAGGCAATGCTGAGGCTAATGGGGGAGCAAACGGACATGCTTAGGTGTCTGGTGGAGCTGCAGGAACGCCAACAAGAGCGCAGACCCCCCCCTGCATCCACTGTATAACCGCCTGCCCTCCTCCCCAAGTTCCATACCCTCCTCATCCAGACGCCCAAGAAAGCGGGGGGAGGAGGCTCCGGGCACCAAGCCACTCCACTCCAGAGGATGGCCCAAGCAACAGAAGACTGTCATTCAAACAGTTTTGATTTGTAGTGTGGCTACAATAAGCAATGTGGCCTTGTCCTTCCCTCCTCCCCTACCCCACCCGGGCTACCTTGTCAGTTATCTCACTTTTTTTTTTAATTAAGAAAGAAAGAATGCATGGTTTCAAAACAATAGTTACTTTATTTCCTTCGCCAGCTGTGATCGAAGGGGGAGGGTGGTTGGCTTACAGGGAATTAAAATCAACAAAGGGGACGGGTTTTCATCAAGGAAAAACACACACCACTGTCACACCGTAGCCTGGCCAGTCATGAAACCGGTTTTCAAAGCCTCTCTGATGCGCAGCGCGCCTAGCTGTGCTCTTCTAATCGCCCTGGTGTCTGGCTGCTCAAAA